AGTGAGATTATGTCCTTTTACACGCCGTTTTACGTTGGGTCTTTGACGCCGAGTCCCATGTTAAAATGGAAGACGCTGCTTAAGCACATTATTGTAGACATCGTAGGATGTGCGACGATAGAATTATACTATTGGTATTGATATTAAAATGAAGGGGGTGTACGGAAACTGCTGGTTTTTCTTCTACACTACATACAGACCGAGTAATAACGAAAACAAAATAATATTAAATCGTGACACCGCAATCGTGTAGTTACTGCACTTTTCTGCAGCCTGGGGCACCCTGGGCTCGCCAACTATCCAAAGCCCACTCGTAAAGAAGTTTTTTCCAGCATTTCAGGAATGAGGCGTTTTAAAGAGAATTTGTGTTCTCGGACTCCAATGATTTTCGATTTTATTCATATTTTCTAGGTGACCATTTTCTCTATCCGCTACCGTTCAGCTTTGATCGGAGATTTGTAAACAAAATTTCTAACTAATAAATGAGCCAAAAATGGGTTGAAGACAATTTTTGGACACATCGAAAGAATTCATTGAGGTCTTTCATATTAGAAGTTTAAACTCATACGCCAATAATGAAAATTTTTATTTCCGACATGTTGAGTAATTTTTTATGCTTTATAACTAAAAAAACAAAGTTGGGGACAGTGGAATGAAATGAGAACAAGATTGTAGCTAAAGGTCGTGTCTATAATTCTGAATTAGAACGAAACCTCTAGACCAGTGGTTCCCAAACTTTTTCAGGCTGGCGCCCACGTTGGCTCCCTAGTGAACTTCTAGCGCCCCCCACAGACACATATAAAAACATACGCCTCTTTCTTGAAATTTAGTACGCTGCAATTTTAAAAGATAAAGGTTAAACACAAATGTGGATTTTACAAATAGAACCTCATTCAGGGAACCAATATGTTTTTAAGCTGTTTTAACTGTTTCAGCACTAGAAACCTTTGACGTCTCGGACAAATTTACGGCCGGACTCGTGGCCAGTCGCACGACCAATCTCCAAATTCAATTATCAAGTAATATCTCCCAAACTAATGAATGCAGCTCAATGAAACTCGGAAAATATATGCATCAGAACCTAACGGTGATTTTTAGCTCGTAAAATTGTTTTAATTTCACCTTCATTCGTGAGTTATATTGCGCTGCGATAAAGGCCAAAATTCGCAGTGATCAAAGAATTTCTTCCAAACTACTAAACAGAACAGATTAGAACGAAATTTTGAATATACATTCTTAACTACCAAACGGTGATTTTTTTAGCTTTTAAAAATTTTTTCAATTTACCTTCGTTTGCGAGTTTTTTTTTTTCATTTCACCGTCATTCTTGATTTCACACTCTCTTAAATTCGGCCCGTATCGTCGGATAATTTGTCGCTTAAATTCGCGGCGATCAAGAATTTTCTTCTAAACTCCTGAACAGAATTCAATGAAATTTTGTATATAAATTCCTAACCTCTCAACGGTGATGTTAAGCTCGTTGACAATTTTTCTATTTTGCTTTCGTTCGCGAGTTATACAGAGGAACGACCGGCTTTTCTACCGGCCGGTTTAACCAAGAGCCGTTTACGTATACGTAAACGGCTCTTACGTATACGTACGTATAGCCGTATAACTCGCAAACGAAGGCAAAACGAAAAAATTGTAGTGAGCTAAACATCACCATTGCTGAGGTTAGCTATTTACCTACTAAGTTTCGTTGAAATCTATTCAGTAGTTTTGGAAGAAATTTCTTTATTACTGCGAATTTAAGCACGTATTGCTGTTTAAATCACGAATGAAGGTGAAATGAAAAAAAAAAAAAACTCGCGAACAAAGGCACAATCGAATAAATTTTAGAGAGCTAACATTACCGTTTGGTAGTTAGGACTGTAAATTCAGAATTTCGTTCGAATCCGTTCATTAGTTTGGAAGAAATTTCTTGATCACTGTGAATTTCGACCCGTATTGCCATATAACTATGGCAAAAACAAATAAAGGCAAAATTAAATAAAAAATCACGAGCTAAACATTACCGTTAGGTTCTAATGAATACGTGCACCAAGTTTCATCAAGTTCATTAGTTTGAGAGATATTCCTTGATCATTGAATTTGGGATTGGCCGTGAGACCGGCCGTTAATTTAACATAGTGATGTCAGCGCTGAAGTGTAGGAGTAATTTGTCCGAGAAGTAAACCCAGGAGAGGTTAAAAAACAGATCTGGGTGAAAAAAACCATCGCTGGGAGTCATGATGTGTTGTTGAGTTCGTGTTGAGTACAAATCGTCAAACAAACGTTGGAACTTCTGACTTTGACTTCGGACTGCCGCCCCCCAAACACCCTCTTCTTCCTTACCGCTCCCCAAAATCTTTCCACCGCCCCTAGGGGGGCGATATCGCCCACTTAAGGAACCACTGCTCTAGACCTTATGGTTGCTCCACCGAAGCCTCTCGAATTGGGAGACTTTTTTCGATTTTATCGAAATTTTTCGAAGTCTTATTGGGCTTCGGAAAAACCTAGGATTCTATTTTTCCAAAACATATTGCGTTGCATACACGAGACTTCAGAGAATAATTTCATTCGATATGACTGATGCTCTGAATATCGTCGTTGATGGACTTTTGAACAATTTTCAAAAAGCGTTATTCCGAACTTTTTAAATAAGAGTTTTACAAAAAAAATCATTACTGATGAAAATGTAGACCTTAGTTCAGTTAGCTTGAAAATATAAATTTGGAACATTAGACAAGTGGTTGAGGAGCAAAAGGCAAAACCCAGTTTTTCTGGTATAACCTATTGAAGAAAATCTTGGATAAAAATTTCTGAACGTGGAGAGGTGGAAATTTCTGTCTACGAGCAATGGTAAAAATTTCAGAGCGATTGGTGAAGACGTCGGGCAAAAAAAACTACAAACTAAATGCGCCGCGTTTCGGAGTAAAAATTTCTGGGCGTAATTTGCGATCCGGTATCAAAATTAGAGACGCGAACCGGAAAACATCTCTTTTGGGTTCAACCAATTAACATTATATATTGGCACACAAGCTTGCCATCTGACTTGAAGTCAAGGCGAGACCCAGGATAATATTTTTCAAGAATTTTCCCGGGAACCCCGGCTCGGGCGGCGCATTGAACAAGGTGATTTAATTGTCTATTCAAAACATTATTCTTTATTATTTCTACACAACATCTCGTGGTCTGAAACGTCTAATCTGCCTTTGTGATCAAGGCAAAATAAAACAGAACAGCCTTCACAAATATGCCATCACAGCACTTACAGATTTGTACCAGAACGCTTTCGCTGGAAGCTATCGATACTATACAATGAGCGCGAGAAAAAAGCTTACACAAAACAAGTCTTACTAGTTTTTCCTTGAATATAAGAAGACAAAAAATTAATCCAGAGCTTAAGAAAATTAGTTCGTAGAAAAATTATGCCAGTAACTGCTAGACAGGTGGAAGGAAAGTTATACTGACCAGCGTCAAACACCGCCAATTTGAGGATAACTCGTCAGTACGCGCAACACTAGGCACCGAAATCTCACTTGATGCAGGTTCTTATGCTGAAATTTCTTATGCAGGCTCTTATACTAAAATAGAGAGGATATCAATATGAAGCGTCAAAGTGTATTGTAAAAAACGTCCGTATTTTTAAAATAGGTATGATAATCAGTATTTATTTCATTGAAATACCTCCCTTATGTTAAGTACCTACCTGTCAGTTTGCCTAAAGAGGCCCAGCAAATACTAAGGTGTGGAAATGAATGAATACTCAATGGTGAAAACGAATGATAAAAAATTAAGTAGCTGAAAAGACCTCTTCATCGATATACCATCAACTCGGCTTGGTGTTATCTTGGTTACACTATTTCTAATTTTTCAGAAATGGAGCAAATTTAAATATTAAAAAGTAGTTTTTTAATCCCTTGGAATGAAAGAGCGACACATTGCATCAAGATTCTAGCACATTGGAGCTCATATTGATGTTTTAGACTCTAAAATGAGAAGACTTTAGTATTAAAGCTGGGTGAAAATCCTAGTCAAATTGAGAAGTTCGTGACACAGATACAAATAAATGATGTACAAAAAGTCACAGCACACGGTGACTTCGAGAAGCCTTGCTTTTTCTACAGCCTTAATGCTAAAATATCGTCTACCTGACGTGGTTACACGCCAATTCATCATTCAAAAGTTTCTTTTCTACATAGGTATCTCTCCTAATTATGTACGAACACAATGTGGTAGAGATTAGAGTGGAATGCGCGAACACATGACACACATGTATAAGGAGACTCGTTGTTAAAAAAATTATTAAATAACTTACTCCTAGTCCAAGCGACACAACATATGCCTAGACTAAAGTAAGAAAGACATCCATTCACAGCAGGCGCATGTGACGAGGATATTCGTGTTGGGGAGACATGTCGACACCACGTCAGCAGTGGCGGAGGGCGCTACCGGCACGCAAGTTGACGCAAATGCAAGCGGATGTTGACACTCAGCCCCGTGAAGGAGAAGCGTCGACTCGATGCTCGACTGGACCTGCGAAGTTGCATTCAATAAAAACATCATCGAATTTTTTGGGATAGTTATGCCGAGATGAAAAAACGGGTGGTAAGGTTTCATATGAGTTTGCCTAACCTTCAAGCGCTGGCGTGAAAAGCTTATAGAATCCGTGGGACATAGTAAAAATCCTCTTACCAGAGTTTCTTCATAACAGCAAGGATTTGGCGATCGACTGTTTATCCCAATATTCATTTTATAACCATTTCAAGCTGACAAACATTTTCAGCTGGCATTTAACCAAACCAGACAAAGTTTATTGCGTGCCACGTACAGCGGAGAGTGAGACACCGCGCAGTCGCAAGCCGCAGAAGCAAGACAGCTCGTCTTGAGAGACATGGAGCAGCGGGCGCACCTGCAAGCGAGGAAAGCGTCAATACAAGCCGTCCAGTAACGGCAGACCTCCGCTCGGTCATAGACCACTGCCAGTAAAAAGGCCTTATTGCTTTGGAAAAGCTGGTAAGCAAGAAATATTTTGCATAGGAGCAAGTCAGCTTTGAAATAAGTTGAAAAAATTATCTTGGTTGAAATTAAAACAAATATAGTACAGAAGGACAAGAAGAATGTTTACTTTATATTTTAAGAACTGATATGAGAAAATAAAATAATATCAAACAAAAAGAAAGCCAGCCATTCTTCTCAATTAAAATGTTGGTGTGAAATAGGTAGATTGTCAAATGTCTTTGATTTAGATCATTTTTGACATGGATCAAAATTAGAGAAATGTCAGCAAATAGAAGCAATAAAAATAAGTGCCGAATAACATGAATGCAACACAAGGGTTTAGTAATTTTTGTGGGTGCAAGGCGTTGCAACAGAACAGCTGTAACCAAAGACAAAGACAAAAACAAACAAAGCCTTACGCAAATGAAATAACACGAAAAAATCATGCGAAAATATTAGACATATGGAAATCCAAGAAACAAAATAAATGAACAAGATTGGTCAATTTTTTCAGCATCACCGTTTATTCAATACTATTTGAAGAATGTCTCTTTGAAGATGACGTATAAAATATTTTTACTTAAAAACTTAAACAAGAGCAGGTGAATGTGACAAGAAAAAGCAAATTCATGAGTAATTGATAGCCACTAGACCAATATTTCAGCAATCTGGGAATCAAGTATACGGTAACTTTAATCCAAATACCTAGATAATTTTGAATTAAATTCAGATGTAACACGTAATATCTACTATTTGTGCTTGAGTTGATGAAAAAGACCAGATGTCGGAAGCTGCTAGAATGAGATAGCTTAACTCACTCAATCCTGAGCAGACTGCTCAAATTTAAACAGTATAGTTTAAAATTTAATAAAAATTTAACAAAACCTAGGGAAGTTTCTTAGTTAGAAAAACTGCAAGTCATTGTGTGGAAAATGTTTAGCTTATCTATTTGCCTTTCCTTGACTTACTTCAGTGTAGCAATCCCAGAGCGACATGAAGATTCTTAATTGATAAAATTCAATCCTATATTGGCATATTTTACCGTGTAGAAGAATATGTTGTTCTACAAATGAATATTTTTTAAAATAGAGTGCAATAATATTCATTTAGGATACAGTAATATATAGACTTAGTTAATATGTTTAAAATAAGCATCATGACTTGCCCATCTAAAACTAAGCAAAGATGGTGTGATGCATGAAAATACAAAATAGTACCTACTTCGACAAGAGATGGAAAATCATTATCTTCGAAAAAAACTGCAATTCAGTACTTCGCATGACATGGACCAGAACAAACATGGCGGAAGTGTTAACAACATCAAGACTCCATGCTAAAGTTGGAAATTTTGTTTGCGTTTTTCTCAGAACTGACCTGACACACGGGACAAATCACTTCAGGCTCTTGACACTTGCTCACCAGCTGGGCCATGTCAGCCTCCTCAAAGCGAGCCACATCCTCAGCTAGCTGCTCACCTATGGGGTAAAAAAATTCAAGTTGATTTATTCTTTAAACCTCAATAAAAGGTAATAGTAAGCCCACCAGCCTCTTGACAGTTCAGTGTTCAGGGCTACATATAAAACAACCACGTCTAGACAGAGCTAACCATTCACTCGTATATTTAAGAAAAACTTATAGGTAGTGCATTTAGCACAATCTGACAGGCACACTCCTACATATTAAAAAAATGTTAACAAAATTGTAAAGGTATAATATCACCAATATTTTAAAAATGAAATCAGGACTAAATCATGAAAAAATCATCATGGTTTTCAAACCAACGTCAGTTTTGAAAAGATCAGGTCGAAATTCCTGTTTTTAGGCCTCCTATGAACAGGTCACAAAAAGTACAGGAGTAGGCAATAGGCCAAGAGCCTATTTCTTCAGCGCCAATTCCCTTATTCTATTCAGTGAAATGTAAGGAACACGGTTTCCAAGCTACAGGCAAGAACTAGTAACATCAAATCCTGAAACAGTGAACTTCAATATCCATCAAAATAAATGAAAAAATCTAGATGTTTTGTAAAAATTTTGAAATGAAGAGATAATTATTATATAATGAGAACGTTCAAATTCAGGGAACAGCAGTCTAATATAACTGAGAACCAAATTCTGAGAGTGGATATGAGTAAATTTGAAGAAATGAGAAACTGGAAGTTGTAAAATGGAATATAACTTCACTTTTTGTCTTTGACCATTATCACTGTCTTGATAATGTGTCAAACATGGAAGAACCGTTTTCCATGTTACGATTTTATACCAAAACTTGACACCTTTTTAAGAAAGAATTGCAAGCAAACGTTTAACAACATGTCTGAATAGAATCGCTGGCCAAAATTGACAGCAAGATTGACACAAATGGCAAGCTAAATTTGCTGCCAGGTCTGTAAGGATAATTGCAGCCAAGCCCTATCAGTATTTCTGAGAATAATTGCATGCAAAACTGCAATTTTTTTAAATAATGATAACAGGCAAACTTGCTATTATATAGGAACATAATAGCAGCCACGATTTGCCATAATTTATAAGGATAACTGGTAAAATTGACAATATATATGAAAATATATTTGTATGCAAATCTTCGCCCTAATTCTGAAAAGAATTGTACTAAACAAAATTTACAACATTTTTCATTTGTAACATTTCTGAAAAGAACTAATTGCAAGTTACTCACTGTAAAGCTTCATTTCAGCCTGAATCTCCTCCAGGATCTCCAACAGAGCCTCTTGCTCCTCATCACTTCCATGCCTGCAAGCCAATAACCATGTTGAAAAGTAATCTTATAGAGATTTTTATTTCATGAAAAATTCATAACAGTTTGTTCATAATTTTTGAAAAAATACAATAGACATTGATTAAAGTTGTATCTCGACCGACTGCAGATCTCCAATGAGTATTTTTAAAACAACAATGAGGTTGTTGGGAAAAGAAATTAGCTCAATACCAGAAAAGACATTTACATGCTTAGAATACCTACTACTGTTGAAGTGACAAACAATATAAATTGTTGAAAAATAGCTGAAATTATAAGATAATGACCAAGGAATTTTTGATAGCTACAAAACTTAGTATATTGCTAAATTCATCATAAACTTTGTGCAAGGCTACAAAAAGTATGGTGACTATACTCATAACTTGCTCCACATAAGGTAAAGTAACAAAGAGTAGATATAAATACCTACTTATTAATAATTTAATGTCAATGTAAGGAGTAAATAATGGCGGCTATACGTATGCACTTCATGCAAGGGTAAAACAAATAGTGGTTGCAACTTGCAATACTCTTTACTCACTTCAAGTGATGATGGAGAGGAACTCCTCCATCCCACTCTCCCTCCATGAGGGCCAGTGCCAGCTGATGATGGTCCATGGCTGAAGGCTTCATTGGGGAATCTGACAATGCACACTTGCGGAACTTATCCAGCAGCCGAGCTCTGGATGAACGGACTCGCTGCATACATTGCTGCACAATTTAAAAACATTCAATATGCGCAGACAGTCAACATGCATCAATATTTCAAGAAAATTGCATGTAGAAAATCATGCCACCTTCAGTATGGAGGGCCAAGGAGCCACATGAGAGACTCGCAGCAGGGATTGGAATAAATCTCCTTTCCAAGCTACCACTAGAACCATTCTGTCATTTTTGGAATGCAATATACCCATTGAATGAATTATATGTACAGTACGTACTATATCTCAAATATAATTCTTGACAAAAGTGCCCAATCAAGACATATAGGTACCGTAATTCTAAATGTATAAAAATTATGTGACTTTTTAGCCATCAAATATTGGAAATAAGTAGGAAAATGGTGGCCATCAATACACTTTTCATAGATCACAATTTACAATCAATATGCAAAATATATGGACATAGCAGGTATTATGATCAATGAAGGTGACAAATGCTACCTACCAATCAGAATGGGCAGCAGAGTCCAGTCCATGTTTACAAGTCTGCAAATTAGGGCTTTACAGGTTGTCTTTTAAAGCAATGATTAAAGACACCATTTTGATCGTGATACTGTACAGTATACATACCACTGGTAATTTTGGGCACAATTACTGGCATCACAGGGCCTGACATGAAGATAAAATGGTGATTTGTACAAATTGAAATTATACCTACTAACTTACATTGCGGAATTTTTCTTTCCAGGGAGGAGTTCTTTCTCTGGCAGATCTATAGAGCTCCTGGTGTTGCAGCATTTTGGGACTAATAGATGCCTGCATTCTGTTTTTGTTACAAATAGTTTAATAGACAAGAAAATATACCATAATAACTTTAGAACCTACTAAAGTTACCCTAGAAGAGCTGTTGCCATAAGAAAGAATAACTTCCTTCTTATTTATTGCTATAGGAGCACTGGAAACTATTCTATGCAGGGATGCAGCCCCTTGTCTAAACAGGGTTTAGTTGGTGCCCCACAGAAATCTGAAAATCTGCAACACACAAAAAAAATATAAAAATGGTACCTAGCAAACACACAAAAAAGCAAACACGGACTCCAAACATAGAAAGAACCTATTGCTATTGGCTAGGTTTTTCTGGCCCCCGGACGGACTCCAAACATAGAAAAAACCTAGCCGATCAACGAAAACCTTGCAGGTTAGGTCCAGTTAGGAACAGGTTCCATTCAAAATTTCTGATGCCAACCACCAAAAACGGATTTCAGCTTCTTAATCTACACCCCAAAAAACATATAATAAAATACACCCTTTTTTTGGATGCACTTAATCTAAAGTAATACCAATTTCTGCCTTAACTTTACTGAAGAGTCTGAACGGGCCCGGAAACCTCCCCCCCCCCCCTTCTGCTTCCAGGACCTGTCGTGAACACATAAATCAATGTAGGGTAAACGCGGTATATTCCAATATCAAGGGTAATTCCGTCACCTCTTTAGTTTTTCCTTTATATTAAGCTTTGTTTTAGTTCCATGCGTTCGTTGATGGTTGAAATGGTGACGTCATACATTTGTGCGTCGAACTACTGCCAAAACACTAGGTCTTGGCCATCTAGCGGGAAAATATTGAGATGCAAAGAGAGACAATGCACGCTACCCAGTGAGATCATCGAAAAATGTGTCAAATTTGACAGTTGACCTTGCTCTACCAAATAGTGAATAACTGTTTGTATAGGAAGAATAGTATTATGGTTTGAGACTTTCAAATATGTCTGTGAATATATTAGGAATCCTTTAAGTATACTTGTATTCCCTGATTTCAAGTGGTATATAAATTAATAGATGATTAAGTTGAGAAATGGATTTAGACACATGAAAACTAATTCCGTCACAACTTGAATGGGACACACACAGATCGTTCCAAGCTATGTACAAAAATTAAAATTTGCTTAATTAAAAGCTTAATAGTTGTTAATTAAAAGCGTAATTAAGTAGTTTTCAATATTCATTAGTGTTCTAATTCAAAGCCGTGTTGTATTCCAATACAGCTCACACTGTCACACAGCAAACGGAATTCGAACACTGTGGACGGTGGATGACGGCATTACGTATCACGGTATCAGTAGAATTTGAAGCGCGGACGGAATACGCCTCAGCGGCCTCACCACGTGCCAAATATTGCCACACGGCACACACAGTGACTGACGGAATATAGGGATTTGGTAGATTGACTAGATGGTAGGTTTCCATTCTAAAGGCTTTTAAGTTTTAAATAAATATGGCAACATTTTGTGACGTTTCGTTGTTGCTGATACGTAGTGCAGTGTTTTGAGAGTCACATGACATAAAGCAAACAGAACTTGAGTAACGCATATGGTTATTTTTTTATAGTTTTTAATTTCTCGATGCATCCCTAATGAGACGGAATATACCGCGTGGCGCGTTTACCCTACAGAGATGATTTTGGTACCGTTGAATTGAATGCGTCAGAAAAGCAGCTTTAAGATGAGCATAAAATCCGAGAGGGCCAAAATTTCTGATTTTTAGCCTTTTAGGGACTATTACGTATTAGCCGTATTAGGGTATACGCGTATACCCCCCGGGCCCTACCCTTAATTAACTTGTTATGAACACCAGAAGTCCAGAATTGCGAATTGAGGTCGGGCTGGTCGGCCCTGGTTTGGGTAGATCCTGCTCCTGCGTTAGCCAGCATAGCAATTCAAGATTCAACAGTTGGACTTGGAGTGAGCTGCAGTGGATGAGCATGAGCATTGAGCAGGATGACTAAACCTAAACGTGACTCACTTTGTCTCGTCTTTTGATGTTTGCCCATCGTGTCAGGCAAAGTCGACAACGTGCTGGTTTTCACAAATTCACATAATGAAAAGAAATTTACGATCCTTGTGATGATTGCTTTCAATGAAATATTTCAAAGTAGTGTTGAAAATCAAGGTTGAAATTCACATTCACAGGAGCCGATGAAATCTCAATAATCGAGGGCACCGCACGTCTTCGTCCAACCATCCCGGACGCCTCGCCAATCGGTACTAATTAGCGAGTAGCGACAAGTACTAGATAGTAGGCTAGCGAATAGTCTTCTTTCTTTGCAGGGTGTCCACTTGGAGTGGACTTAAAGCCGCAGGTCTGCCAGATGGATGACCGTTGGGCCTGAGAGCTTATAGCTTGGGGTTTTCAGCTTCTCTGTGTATGAAGTTAATTGCTGCCATTTAGTGAGGTTGGCTGATGTAAGCTCAGTACAGGATTGGGTAAGAGTTTACAGGGAACATATAGCGAATAGTGACTACGTCTACTGAGGCGTGAGTCGTCCTAAAGAATAAGTGTGGACAGGGCTCCCAGCCAATAATTTGAGAAAAACTTAGATGGTTGCTGAAAAACACCCAGATTCTGCAGATTTTGTGGGAAAAAAACCCAGACAACAAATTTCATCAAAAACATTGTAATTTTACTTACTTCTGATGGAATTATAAATCTTCGGCTGCTGCTAAATTTGGTATTTTGTGAGTCTCTGTCTTGGTTAGCTCTTGGATGAGCGTAAAATCCATATTTCTCTTACTACTCCGGGAAAAATAGAAGGTAATATTCTTTAAAAATTATTCGAGATATTAGGGCAACATTTTCACAGCGTGACTTGTGCAAAGAGCAAAAGAATGGCTAATACGCAACCCATAACAAAAACTGATGGAATGTCTTTCTTCAATAGGGTTCGAAAGCCACTCATGTTGCCCATCATTGTACAACAATTATCGCTTCCAAATCCAATAATGTTTCAAAAAGGGTTTCTTTTTCTCATTCAGAGTCGTTTTAACAGCGTTGTATAAACCACTGGCACTTCCATCTTCAACAACAATCGAATCAAGCAAACTATCACATACATCATTTTTTTTTTTCAACATCAAAATAGCTAACGACAACAGCTAATACCTGTGAAATGGACATGTCTGTGCTCTCATCGATTTTCAGACTGAACTTTTCATTTCTACACTAATCAACAATTTCCCGTTTTTCATGATAAGTAATTCCTTCCTGAATAAGATATGAAGTTTTACATTTTTAGCAATACTGCCATCATGAAATGCTCTCTTGCACACTTCCACTAGATGATCTGCATGCGCGAATGGCACATTGTGTTCAGCAATATAAGCAGATATAGTAATTCTGCCTTTGCAACTTCATCACTCTCCTTGGGAATCTGTTTCTTAATAAATGAATCAATTTTAGTAGCTGCTTTAGCTTCTTTCATGTTGTTGATATGCTTCGCAGTCTTACAATGTGCCATCAACATAGGATCTATTAGCATTTTTTATTTGAGTTTTACAACATGCGCAATTGGAAATACCTTTTTCTTTCGAATCTTTTTGCAGCTACTCCTTAAAGTCTTTTTCATGTAATCACTCTTCTATAAAAAGACTGTTTATACCACTTTTTAGCTACTTTTCTAGGAGGACTTGCCATTTTCGGGGCCTTCACTGTTCACTATGTTAATTTAACAGCACCGATAGGTACAAAAGCAACAGTAAAACTTAACGCACGACACAACTATAACTTGTCACTTATCAATAGCGAGCGCGGTACTGCGAACTGCGAAGTGTGCGACGAGAAGTTGAAGCAACAAACAACTGCTTCATCGCTTCTGCATCTAGGAACTCGAAATAGCGTCTGATCAGTCCAAGTCGTTTATTGGCTTTATTAACTTTATTTATTAATATTAAATTTGAGTAGGCGTTCTCTCCGAGGCTTCCCAATATTAGTTCGCTATGGTAATTGGCTCCAAATCCGCGTATAATACTGTGATGTGAGTCATGTGACTAGCCTCACTAGGCATCACGAAAAAGCGGCGTTAATATGCATTCAGATTAATCTTCGCTGCAAGCAAGAATTTAGATAAAATAGCTTTATAAACATAAATTCTATCATGTTTATCGTTTTCATGGGATATGACCAAGAATTAACAATTAAGAAATAAACATTTAATCGACATTTAAACAATTTAATAGAGAATGTTCAAAGACGTGCTTGGAGGGCAAGTCCTATGAAGAAAGATTAAAGATTATGAAGCTTCCAAGCCTCAGTTATCGACGTCTGCGTGGGGACCTCATTGAAATATACAAGTATACTCATGGTTTATACAAGGTCCCCGAAGTATTACTATAATTTGAAACAAGAACAAACACCAGGGGCCACGGCTATAAACTAAAAAACAGCGCTGCAACTTCTCCACGCGCCAACATTTCTTCTCGCTTCAAATCACTGACATGTGGAACAGCCTCCCCGATGACAACGTTGGCGCTCCAAGTATGAACGCGTTCAAGAACAGGCTAGATAAAGCTATGGAAAAATATATGTTCTGATTTGAAATGCCTAGCACCATATCGAACCCGGTGGAAGTCGAGTAGCTATTTCAAACTATCGTCAGTCATGAAAAGATTCGATCAAATGACACGATTTTAGATCTTCTTTGAACAAGGCACGAAAAGTAAAAGAATCTACGACAGGCCACATCAGGCCAACACTTCAGCGCCGTCATCACTATGTTAAGTTGTGTTATGTTATAAAAAGTAAAATGCAGGTTGTTTGTGCTGCGTATGAGTAGGATAGATTCGAAAAAGGTTTCTCACCCTGCCGATTTTCTCAGCTGATTAAGCATGCCATTAAATTCAAATTTTTATATATTTATGTTGAAAAAATCTTGAAGACCCCTTGAAACGAGTTATGCTTAGAATGAACCAGTCAACAGTGACATTTTCGGATACAGGAACTAGCCTGTGGCCGTGGAAGAAGGTTGAAAATGTCGGAAGAGAGCGTGACGAACGTAAACATAAATCAAGACAACCGACGCGCTTCAACCAATATGTTACTACGGAAATCCATTGTGCTGTAGGACTAGATCATAAGTCTCATAAATAAATGAAAATAGCACGTGCAATAAAGAGAATTGCATATTTTATGAGGTAGCGTGGGAACTAGTGTGGCCTAGCCTAGCCGATTTTTAGTGGAAGTATTGGTGGAAGTATACGTATATAAATACACATCCGGCAGTTCTTGCAGCAGTCCTGAC